TATATTATTAATTTCCTCTGTATAAGTTGATGTACCTATGTTGAGCTCATTACAAGGTATATTAATAGACATTATTTGATTTTCTTCTTCTTCAAATTTAGTTATTCTCACACACTTAGGATTTATGTGCAGTTCAGCACTTGTTTGAAATATAACTTTTCCTACTAACAGGTCACATGTAATGGCTTCATCAGGGACAACATAAATATCAATAGTATATGATGATCCATCAACACTTAATTTGCAAGTAAATACACCTTCTGTATAGAACTTAACTCCTCCTGGTCCTCCTAGTAGAGTTTTATCTTTACGAATTGTGATTTCATCTAACTTCAACATAAATGACCTTCGACAGAGATTCACATCACTACCAGTATCAACTAAAGCATTAGTTTCTACACCTTGTATATCAACTAATTTACTTATACGATTAATAGGATATATGACATCATTAACTTGATTCACTTGTATTTTAACATTTTCATCTCTTTGACTTCTATCAGTATTTGGTTGACTAGTTGATGGACGATAAGAACATGATGATGCTTTATGACCAAATTCCTGGCATAAAAACACTTAAATCCTTTACTAGCATCAAGACAAGAACTAGAACGGTGACCCTTTGCACCACAGTTGTAGCAACGATTAATGTTTGCTGATTGACCTTCATGTTTATATGATTTAAATGAAGCATTAGGCAATTCATTCAAATATTTTTTTTCGCTGAAATTTATGTTTGACTTTGTATTTGCCCTTAAGTTTAACTTCATCTTCTCATACAGTTCAAATTTCAATTTTAGCTCATCAATGGATGTAGCGCAATACAGTATCATCTTGTTGACTTCCAAGTCTCTTATACCAGCTATAATATAATCAATAAGAGAATCTTCTTCAATATTGCCTAGCTGAGCAATCTGTTTCATCTTGAAAACATACTGCTGATACGATTCATCAATTTTNCTACTGCTGATATGATTCATCAGTTTTCTTAAATCGCTCAGATAGTGAACGATGAATAGCAGCTGTGTTCATACGACTTTTAAACTCATTCTTCAGTTTATCTTTTAAAATTGTCCAAGTAGTAATTCCTCTTTCCGATTGAATATATAATTGAGCCGTTCCCATTAATAAACGTTTACCATAAATTAACTTCTCAGGATCGGACCAACGTAGTACACTAGCCATTTCTTCAATTTCTTCAATCCATCGATTAACTGGATAAGCATCATCACCAGAAAACTTTGACAGTGATTCTTCAACATCTCTAAATCTTAAATGAGATTTGCTATGCTCAAGTCTCAAAGCAAATACTTCCTCTCGAAGTCTAGAAACTTCGTCCATAGTTTCATTAAAATTTTTATTTTTAGGCATCTCGAACTGTTATATAATCAAAAAGTTTAATCAAATTCAAATTGATGTTAGAAACCGATTAACAATAACTAGATCTCGCGAAAACGAACAAAAAAATATTGCGCGTTTACTCAACCAAAATGGAGTCGTATACTAATACAGTTACAAAAACGTTTTATATATTTTCGTCACTAACAACACTTATATAATACACGACAAATAGTTTGAATTTTTCCGGATGTTGAGTAGACAAGATATCTTCTCCAATCTCTATTCCCGTTTGTTGACCGATGATTATCCCGGACAGGCCCCCAAAAAATGTGGGAAAATGCAAACAGGCAATTACAGGAACAGAGCGAAGACGCAATACTATTATTTAATTTATATATTTATAAATTAATACACAAAAACTCTATTCAATGTTAACAAACAAAAATAACACATATATTTAATTACACACGATAACTCTATATAAAATATTCACACAACACAAAAATATTATATAAAAAAGAATACACTTATAAACTAAAGAATATACATAGAGACACGTCTTAGCCGACTCACGACTTGATTTAATCTCCCTCTATATACTTGATACCACTATCTATCTCCAGACCCTGGAAGTGGTGCCATCTAGATACCAATAGTACCCACATATATATATATATATATATATATAAAATTACATATACTAAGTGTTTTCGGATTGATGGACACCGCGATACTAAAAATATTTATTATGATATGTTATCTTAAATTTTAGTTAATCCCTACAGATTAATTATTTTATGTGATAAAGAGATAGTGTAAAACGAGTAAAAGATTATAAAGATTTTTGATAATTGATATGAAAAAGATTCCCAAAATGTACATTAATATAATAGCGGATATGTATGATGATTCTAGTACTAGAGTCAAAAGTGTGGGTGGAGTAACAAAACAATTTTTCATATTTTCTATACTGATAATAATTGATAATAAGCGAGGACCTGATAGGAGAGGTGGAAAGTTTTAAGTATTTAAAATGAGTTGTGCAAAATAATGATGGTATTAACGAAGAAGTATGACCGTTGACCAACAGTTTAAATCGCGTGATTATTATTTGTTATTTAATTTTTACTGTGACATTTTTTCAAAACATTAACGATTTTTTTACTCTTTTTACAAATTATGTTTTCGAGACATTCGCCATTTTCACAGCGACTAGATAATTTGTCAAGACTGCTCTTTTTCCCTGTTCACTCTCACATATATATTTAACTGAAAAGTTCAATAAAATGTAAGTACATTTAATTTAAATTGAAGAGCAAAATAATAAATAGTAGTAGGTTAATATTGAGAATTCTAGGCTCCTCGCCTCACCCCCTCTCTTGGTCAACGGTTACTGACACATCTGGTTATTCCGTCAAAAGTTCGTACGTTAAATTCGCGCTATAGTCTCAATGAAAATATTTTATGACTATTATTTTAAAGTTTTTTTATTAATTTACTAATCAAGGGATAATATGTCTTATAACAATATAAGTGAATAAAACTATTTGAACGGTTATAACCGTTATAACGATTCTTTCAATATAATGAAAGAATGTTGGTGAATCCGTACAATTATTTTGAACATTGAACGGTCTCAACAATTACTAAAAATTGCTCGGTTACTTATTGAACGTTGAACTTTCATAGAACTTATAAAAAATTACACGATTCATTATTAAAAATTGAACTCTATTAGCACTCGTAGGTCGCTTGAACTGATCGTGAACCAAAATAATGCTACTCGGGAAATATCTCCCTTAACGATTGTCACACCCTTGTGCGCTCTTTGTATATCGCCGTTGGGTCTATATGCTAGTCAACGAAAGAGTAATTTGCAATTCTTTTGTCGCATAACACACCAGACGTTTTTCTCTACTTCAACCACCCACACTTAATTCTGTGTCATACTTCTTCGTCAATACCATCATTATTTTGCACAATTCATTTTAAATACTTAAAACTTTCCACCTCTCCTTCTACTTGTTGAACTAATAAAGAGCAGTTATGTTTGAGTAGCTGNCTGTAACCCGAAACTACTGACGTCGAACTAATAAAGAGCAGTTATGTTTGAGTAGCTGTTATAGACATAGTTTTTGATACTATCACTTGTAGCTTATTTATATTGTTAATAAATTATATTATTCAACGATTCATCTATCGCCAATTATCATCATGGCTAACCAACTCCGCCTTACTTAGATATACTTATTAACCAGCTATACTAGGATTCAAACCAGACACATTGTACATTACATACAACTTATATTTACTAAACATTAAAAATATAACTTTACTTTGTTGTTGACATAAAACAATTGTGTAACTTTATTATTATACCGTTCAGTAGGTAAAGAAACGAGTTTCTGTTCTCATTTTTTGTAACAATTTACCTGTTTCCTTACTTACTGAAAACTCTGTATATTATTTTTTACATATTATAAAAAAAATTCTTTTATCAAAATAATTGCCTCAAAAATATTCTTTTATTATATCATTAATAAAGATCTACGACAATTGCGACCTGGGGCATATGCGCACAAGGACATCTGTGCACAATTTAAAAATTAGAAACTGATTATTTATTTAAATAAAATTCATGTTTTAATTGTTAATTACTAATATATTTGCATTTTATAATTGTTATCTATTAAATACATGATTAAAACTCAACATTAAAATAAATATTGTGCAAAGTTGAAATCTTCTCTATAATTTATCAAAAGACCCGTATTTTGATTTTGTCGCCTATGAAAACTAAAAGAAGCATCCCAATTATAAAGCATAAATTAACAAAATCGATTCGATAAAAAACATAGAACACGGTAAAACCTTCACAATCTCACAATAATTCCACAAAGCTAAAAATTATAGAAAAGTTTTTTTGATGGAAATATTTTTAAGTATATTAAACCAAGAATATCAAATTTTTCTAAAATTATTTTAATGAACACATATTTTTATTTTATATCGCAAATTTTTGGAAAAATATAGTAATGTTATTTTACGGCGTAATGTCTTAACTTGAGCGTGAATAAATAATTCCAATATTTCTACTGAAATAGCTAAAAAAAAACACCACGAATAAAAATAATTTTAAATTCTAACTTTTATACAAATTAGGAGACAACTAGGGGTAATTTTGAATTAAAATAAAATGAGAAAAATTANTAATTTTGAATGAAAATAAAATGAGAAAAATTAATATTTTTCGTTTACCGTTTTTTTCAACCTTCAAAAAAATTACAAATTTAAAAATCGATAAATTTTGTCTTTTTTTTCTTAAAACTTCCATAATTTTTTCAAAAATCAACAAATCAACATAATTTTTTTTTATACTAAAAACTTAGATATTTACCTTTCATTTGATATCATTTATTTGAAAATCTAACACTTAACCTGCATATTTGGGGGGATTTAAAATTAACTTTTTCAACTTAAATTTTGAAAATGTTCCGGAAATACTGTGTTCTTTAAACATACGAGGGACGTCCAGAAAGTAAGGTTACAAGGCCTGTGTATGACGTAGGGAATTTTGTTTTTCAGAGTTGTCACCTCTGTCATGTAGAGAATTTTTTATCGATCAAAACAAATCATCAAACGCCTCAGTCCGTTACGAAATGTCGTCACAGCAGCCAAACACGTCAAACAGTTCGTCGTCCAATCGCTCCACCTACCGTAGGTGTGAGATACGCTCTGTTATTAGGTTCCTTACTTTACGTAACGAATCCGCGGGCAGTATTTATCGCCAGCTCGTGGAAACCTATAGATGCGAGGTGATGACACGTCAGCATGTTACCAAGTGGGTTAGATTATTTAAAGAAGGCCGTACTGACACTCACGACGAAGAAAGGTGTGTAAGACCATCCGTAATTTCAGATGAGCTTCTGCAGCAGGTTGAAGAAAAAGTTCGCGATGATCATCGTGTAACTCTTGATGCCCTTAGTGAAAGTTTCCCACATATCTCACGAAGTCATCTGGGTGAAATTATAACAGAAAAACTTGGTTATAGGAAGTTGTGTGCAAGGTGGGTGCCAAAAATGTTGACTCCAGAACATCGTCAAAATCGTGTTTTGGCTGTATGCGAGTTTCTTGAACGGTATGAAAGCGAGGGTGAAACATTTCTTGACTCAATTGTGACTAGTGACGAAACATGGGTGTGTCACTATACTCCCGAGTCAAAAAGGCAATCTCAACAGTGGCGACATACACATTCACCATCAATCAAAAAATTCAAAGTTTAATTTTCAGAGAGGAAGATCAAGTCATCTGTTTTTTGGAACCGGAAAGGGTTATTATTGGTCGATTTTATGCCTAAAGGAACTACCATAAATGCAGCTGCATACTGTGAGACACTCACAAGAAGTTGAAAAAAAAAATCAAAGACAAAAGGAGAGGAATGTTAACTCGTGGTGGGTCACTCCTTCATGACAACGCTAGACCTCATACCACCCGTTTCACTCAGGACCTGCTCGTTTCATTTGGGTGGGATATTGTGACTCACCCACCCTACTCCCCGGACCTGGCACCATCGGATTATCATCTTTTCAATAAATTGAAGGAGTTCTTGGGTGGACAACGATTTTCAATTGACGAGGAAGTCCAAGATGCTGTTGAAAATTGGCTTCGGCAGGTGGAGCGGAAGGTATACGACGAGGGTATACAAAAACTGGTCCCTAGGCTTCAAAAATGTATTGATCTCAATGGCGATTATGTAGAGAAATAATGACATGTTTTGACACTTATCTTGTAAATTTCATTTAAATATATCCATTTTTCAAGTTTTAATACATGTTGTAACCTTACTTTCTGGACGTCCCTCGTATATCAAATTAGAGCATATTTTATGTACTATAAAAAAAAAAAATTTGTCCCGACGACCTATCTTCTATGCGCAAATGGCTACCGTATTCAAAAATATGCTATTTTAATATTAAGGTTAATGTTGCTTTTGTAATTATCCATCAATTTCTTAGAATTAAACACTATCTACAGATTTGCATTGAAGCGTTTCTTATGATAGTGATTTTAATCACTGTCAGATATCATTATACTTAATCCAACTATGCTACGTCACCACTGTGCCACAAAAAACGAAAAAATGAGAAAAATTAATATTTTTCGTTCCCCGATTTTTTCAACCTCCAAAAAAATTACAAATTTAAAAATCGCTAATTTTCGAAAGTTTTTCAATTTTTTTTTACTTAAAACTGCCAAAACTTTTTCAAAAACGAACAAATCAATATAATTTTTTCTTATAGACGCATAATGTCTTTACCAATCATCTGATGTATTTTTTTTATAAATTTGACCCTTTACCTTCCCACAGGGAGGGATTCAAATGACAACTTTTTCACAAAAAATTTACTTTTTCAACTTAACTTTTATAAATATATATCTATTTATATATTTATATATCTTAAATTAAAGCTAATGTAATATACTTTATTAAAGAAAAAAAAATTCGGACTTTATTTTATCTTCATTCTGAAAACAGACATCAAAGTTAATAAAAAAAAATACGATTTTTGTAAAAAACATTCTTCATAATGCTATAACTTATTGAAAAGTGTATGGATCAACATATTTTTTTATGGGAAATAATATTTTTCTATAATACCTTTTTTATTTAAGTATAATTTGTTATTTATTGTAAAGAAACTATCAAGTTGAGCATGTTTTTTGAAGTATTAAATTCATAATCAAAATAAATCTATTTCCAAAAACTAGAATCTGTAGTCAAAAATTTAGAAATTATATTTTAGGTTTTCCAACTATTATATGGACTGATAACCAGTCATTGATTTTTATGCGTAATTGTAAATTATTAAACAATCGTTTAACACGATGGATATTATTTTTACAAGAATTTAAATTAGAAATAAAATACATACAGGGAAAATATAATATAGTACCAGATACTTTGACCCGATATCCGGTTTATAATCAGGAAGTAATTCCGGGTGACGCGAAAAAATTAGTTATCGCAAAAATAATTTCAATTCAGTATAGTAGAGAACTTACTAACAAATTAAAAAATATAAGTAAAATACAAAACGAGGATGAGATTATAAGAAAGTTAAAATACAAAGTTAATTTAAATCCGTCAGAATATAAACATCACATAATTACTGAGGACACATTATTAGAGAGAATAGATGTTAATAAAGAATGGCGTGTTATGATACCAAGGGTTTTAATAAAAGAATTGATTTGGGAAACACATATAAGTTTTGGCCATATAGGGGCGAACAAGGTATACAAAATATTGAAGGAAAACTGTGTTTATAAAGGTATGTCTAGAATAGCAGTAAAAATAATAAGGTCATGTGATCTGTGTCAAAAGGCAAAGGTATTTAATAAAAATACGGCAAGACCCCAAATAAATCACACACCAACACAAATATTAGAGGTTTGCTCATTAGATTTATTAGGACCACTAGTTAAGAGTAGGGGAGGCGTACAATATGTATTAGCTATTATTGATACATTTTCAAAATATGTAAAACTATATGCTCTTAAAAAAGCTACTACAACCGCTATATTAAATAGGGTAATAAAAGAATATATAGTAAAGGAAGGTACCCCGAAAAAAATTTTAGTAGATAATGGTACACAATTCCAGTCAAAAAAATGGAAAGAATGTTTAAGGAATGTAGGAATTGAATGTAAGTTTACGGCAGTTTATAACCCTCAAAGTAATCCAATAGAACGTACAAATAGGGAAATAGGTAGAATTCTGCGGACGTTTTGTCACGCACAACATACTAACTGGGCTAATTTTTTAGAAAAAACAGAATGTTGGATTAACCATAGTATTTCCGATACTACTAATAAAACACCCTGGGAGGTATTTAAAAAGAAACCACCTATAAGACCAATAAAACAAATTATTAATTTCCCTGAAGTAATAATAAACGAGGATATAGTAGAAATAGTTAGAAAAAACATAAGGGATAAAGCAAAAAATAGAAAAGCAAAAGCTGATAATAATAAAACTTTCATTAACTATTACGAGCATCAGTTGGTATTAGTGAAAAATCACAACCGTTCATCAGCTATAGAGAGAGAAGTAAAAAAATTATTTCTTCTATATAAGGGACCGTATAAAATAAAAAAAAAGTTAGGCGAAAATACGTTTTTAATTTGTGAATTACAGAACCCTAAAAAAGACAGCATTCAAAACGTGAGAAACCTGCGTCCGTATTATTGTCCGTACTATGAACAAAACCCCGGTATTGGCAATGGAAGTATACGAGGAGATGGAGAGTCTAATGGGACGATATTTTAATGAAAAAGAAATATTAGACATGGAATGGTCCGATGAGGAAGATATTCAATTTGAAAAAACACAACCAAATAAACTGCCAGAAGTCAAAGAAAGTAATTTTGACAAAGAATACATTTTCGAACAATTAAACGAAGATATGATTATGGTAAAGAGAAGAGAGAATACTGAAGACAAAGAAACAAATAAACTCGCAGCGCAAACTGAAAGGATAAAAAAATCAAAGATTATTCGTGGGCCTCCATTAATTTTCGACTATGAAAATCTTGAATCTTTACCAGAACTCAAACTAATTTCGGAAATTAATATTAACAACTTTACCAAAAGAAATCTTACCCAACCGGACGATGAAGATATCAACTTGATACGGGAAAAATTGGCAAACGATATTCCATATAATAAAGACAACGACAACAAAAAAATAGAACAAATTATTAAAAAAATAAGCAAAAATATTGGGAAGAAAATCAGGTGTAAAACCAAAGTCAAGCGGCAACTTATTGAACAGGTACTCATTCAAAAAGGCTATGAGATTCCAAGCAGAACCTTATTGAAGAAATTAGCTGCATCATTTTAATATTATAATTATTTTTGTAAATATGAACAAAGGGGTAAAAAGTCATTTATCTCATTAATTATTAAAAAAAAAAAAAAAAAAATTTTTTTAGGGAGGTACAGTTGTAGCGTTACGCTACTGCTTTATCATTGGTTGACAGTTGCAAGAAAGTCCACTGGACAGCGCTGTTCGACAACCCTTATTCAAAAAATGTAAGTTAAAGTATTTATCTATTATTATTTTTTATTATATTTATTGTAATGATTATTTTATATAACAGTCTTAGCGAGAACTCGAAAATAGGAAATTAGAATATTCTTTTTGTTTTTGGAAGGTTTTTAAAAATAAATAATATGTGGGCAATTGTGTTCTACACTACTCCGGTGGTGACGGGTAGCATAAAGTACACCGTCACTACGTGCATAATTATTCTCTAAGATGTACAATACGTCNATTACTTGCATAATTATTCTCTAAAAATTTTAATAGTTTTTTTTTAGTTTTTCGTTTTACTAGTGTTTGCAGTGGTCATTGCCAACTAGTCTTCATATAATAATTCATCATTTCATTTTGTCCATCGAGTAAGTTTTCTTTATTTTTTCCTTATTACATATATAATTTTCAACGGTGATTATAACCATCGTGTTATCAACCGTGATCAAGATTGCTAGTCATTCCTAAATATTCCTCTTTAATCCTGTGCAACGGTGCTCGTAATAAACGTTTTACCAACCGTGATCCAAAGGGTTAGATTCCACCACTTATACAATACAGTTCATCTTCAACGGTGATCATAACCTCCGTGTTATCAACCGTGATCGAGATAACTGTCTTTTTGTAAAAATCCCTTTAACCTTTTTGCAACGGTGTTCGTAACTACTCGTTACCAACCGTGATCCAGAGGGTTATACTTTTATTTCACCCCAAATTAAATAGTTTCTAAAATAAGACTGATATAGTAGTTAGTTTATTAATATATGTATATATTCATCTTTATATAAAAATAAATCAGAACAAATCGATTAGTCGAACAATTTGTGTTATATTTTTTTATATTTAAAGAGAACAAACCGTAGAAACGTTTCAAATCCATGAAATAATAATAAATATTCACATATGAACCATTAATAAAAAAAACACAATAATATGAAAGAATGTCTTTTAAAATAGAAAATTATTATGGCAGTTTAGAAACGAAATTAATACGAATTAAGGAGAAAGAACAAAACATATTTAATATATTACATTTTTGGAAAAATAAATATTTTATTTATCAATGGTAATAATGTACAAATTTACCTAAAATATGCAAGGTAAAAAAAAAATAATGATTACCATATTAATTTTGAATGTTAACTATTGTTAAGATAAGTAAATGGATCAGCTTAATTTTTTTTAAT